GTGGTAGGCTGACATTCTCTCTGTATTACACCCTGGGTGGTAGACTGACATTCTCTCTGTATTACACCCTGGGTGGTAGGCTGACATTCTCTCTGTATTACACCCTGGGTGGTAGGCTGACATTCTCTCTGTATTACACCCTGGGTGGTAGGCTTATATTCTCTCTGTATTACACCCTGGGTGGTAGACTGACATTCTCTCTGTATTACAGGCTGTGTCATACACTGACATTCTCTCTGTATTACACCCTGGGTGATAGGCTGATATTCTCTCTGTATTACACGCTGGGTGACATACTGAAATTCTATATGTATTACAGGCTGTGTCATAGACTGACATTCTCTCTGTATTACACCCTGAGTGATAGACTGACATTCTCTCTGTATTACACCCTGGGTTATAGACTGACATTCTCTCTGTGTTACACCCTGGGTGATAGGCTGACATTCTCTCTGTATTACACCCTGGGTGATAGGCTTATATTCTCTCTGTATTACACTCTGGGTGGTAGGCTGACATTCTCTCTGTATTACACCCTGGGTGGTAGACTGACATTCTCTCTGTATTACACTCTGGGTGACATACTGAAATTCTATATGTATTACAGGCTGTGTCATAGACTGACATTCTCTCTGTATTACACCCTGGGTGGTAGGCTGACATTCTCTCTGTATTACACCCTGGGTGATAGGCTTATATTCTCTCTGTATTACACGCTGGGTGACATACTGAAATTCTATATGTATTACAGGCTGTGTCATAGACTGCCATTCTCTCTGTATTACACCCTGGGTGGTAGACTGACATTCTCTCTGTATTACACTCTGGGTGACATACTGAAATTCTATATGTATTACAGGCTGTGTCATAGACTGACATTCTCTCTGTATTACACCCTGGGTGGTAGGCTGACATTCTCTCTGTATTACACCCTGGGTGATAGGCTTATATTCTCTCTGTATTACACGCTGGGTGACATACTGAAATTCTATATGTATTACAGGCTGTGTCATAGACTGCCATTCTCTCTGTATTACACCCTGAGTGATAGACTGACATTCTCTCTGTATTACACCCTGGGTGATAGACTGACATTCTCTCTGTGTTACACCCTGGGTGGTAGACGGACATTCTCTCTGTATTATAGGCTGTGTCATACACTGACATTCTCTCTGTATTACACCCTGGGTGATAGGCTGATATTCTCTCTGTATTACACGCTGGGTGACATACTGAAATTCTATATGTATTACAGGCTGTGTCATAGACTGCCATTCTCTCTGTATTACACCCTGAGTGATAGACTGACATTCTCTCTGTATTACACCCTGGGTGATAGACTGACATTCTCTCTGTGTTACACCCTGGGTGGTAGACGGACATTCTCTCTGTATTATAGGCTGTGTCATACACTGACATTCTCTCTGTATTACACCCTGGGTGATAGAATGATATTCTCTTTGTATTACGCACTGGGTAATAGATAAAGTATGGCTGGATGATTGATTTATAGTCTCTGTATTATCAGATAAACTGTGAATTCACTGTCTGAATTCATCTGGGGCAACTGACAGAACTTGGGCTGGAAATTTAATGAAGTTTTGGATTTTTCTACCAATTTGTTTATTTTGGGCCAAAATGTAACACTTCCTGGTGAATTCCCAACAATTCAATATTATTTAATTTTTTTTTTTTTCAGTTCACTTTCCCCAATATACACAATTGGTACATTCAATCCACACATAATTACCCTAAAACAGCTCAATTTATGTAAAAAATGCAGGCCCACTGCTGACACAGCTTGTCCCTGTTGGGTATTTATTTATTTTTAAATATACTCAACACCTCTACAAAAAAAATAAAAATAATGGGGATACTTTCTGGACTGGAAATGCTGCCAGAGCTGGAGATCTGCAGGAATGTAACAAATTCAGAATTTTTAACATGCCCACAAACATTTGTGTAATGCAATCTTTATATAATGAATAAAATGTGTGTCCTGAGTGCAATGAATCTGCCTTATTTGGGATCTATGAAGCACTATGCACAAACATTGTGGGATGTTTAACATCCATTCAGATCTAGGATCAAGTCAACATTTCAAAACATTTATCACTGTACTCCACCGGTCTCATCTATTTTCTCGTTCTTATAGTTTTGCTTTCCGGATTTATAGTCATTCGACGTGCTGAAGGACAGTACATGTAAAGTGCTGCCGCCCATTTCCCAGAATCCAGCGTCTTCAGCAAGGGAATGACAAAAGGAAAGATACCAAATAAAGTGTTTTGATTAAAACCCCTGATTCCTTCTGCAATATTTCATGTTTAATACTATAGGGCATCACTCTTCATATGTTGTCCAACAGCATAGATATGCATTGTTTGAGTAGGAAAACCACGGTGGGTCTGGAGACTGACTGTACCTTCACAGGATGAAAGAACCAGCTTCCAGCAGTAAGGAGGAATACTGTAACTATAAAGAATAATTATGGCATCTCCTTAAGTAGTTAAGATGGCTGGACAGAGTGTATCTATAAAGTATGCAATCTAAATCTATACCAGAAAACGGGTTATTCGCTAAGCTGCGAGTTGTAGTGAACCAAAATGTAATTGAACCAAAATGTAATTGGCAAAACTAGAGCTAAAATAGCAGATCTGCAACCAATTTCAGTTCGGCTAGTTACATCCTGGCTTTTTTTTGCCGAACTTTTGCCTTTTGGATTTATTTTTTACAATTCTATGTAATCCTGTACGTTTGTTGCATGCACCCACTAATGTAAGTATGTCTGATCATTTTCACCTATTCCTAGACTCAAGAAAATAAAAATAATTCAGATGCCACAAAGCATTTTTAAAAGAACACTGTAGTGTCAGGAACACACACATTTATTCATGACCCTATAGTCATGTTTAATCCACCCCCCCAACTTAGAAAAAGTGATGTCACCTTATTTCAAGTGCTGCGCGGGTCTGCAGACACTGGCCCCGTCCCAGAGCCGCCTCCTTGGTGACATCAGAATTGCAGATTTTTAGCCAGTCCAATGCTTTCCCATAGGGTCACTGCAAGGAAAGCATTGGATTGGCTGAAATCGGCAAGGAGGCAGGATGTGGGCAGGACACCTTTTTTGCCAATCAGCACCTCCTCAGAGATGCATCAAATTAATGCATCTATATGAGCAAAATTCAGCATCTCAATGCAGAGCATGGAGACGCTGAATGGCAGTGCTGCCTACTGTGCAGCACTCCCCCAGGAAGTACCTCCAGTGGCCATCTGAGGAGTGGCCACTTCGAGCTGTCCCTAGAGAGCAATGTAAATAGTGCATTTTCTCTGAAAAGATGGTGTTTGCATGAAAATGCCTGAAGGCAATTATTATACTTACCAGAACAAATACATTAAAGGACCACTATAGGCACCCAGACCACTTCAGCTCAATGAAGTGGTCTGGGTGCCAGGTCCATCTAGTGTTAACCCTGCAACTGTAAACATAGTTTCAGAGAAACTGCTATGTTTACACTAGGATTAATCCAGCCTCTAGTGGCTGTCTCACTGACAGACGCTAGAGACGCTTCTCACTGTGATAATCACAGTGAGAAGATGCTGGACGTCCATAAGAAAGCATTGAGAAAGACTAAAGACCATATAGTGCCAGGAAAAAGTTTGTTTTCCTGGCACTATAGTGATCCTTTAAGCTGTAGTTCTGGTGACTATAGTGTCTCTTTAAATGAAACACGGGCCCTACTTTGCTTTTACATTTAAACAGCAATTTAGACAAGGGGAATACATAACCCATAATCAGGCATGTTTATGATCAAGAACTGGAGTCTGACATTAAATCTATGACAGCCAGAATAACAGTGTCTAGAATTAAAAAGCTTGTCACAGATTGTAAAGCCAGAAAGGGAGCATTCTGGCTGGCTGAAAGCTGCCTTAGAGTGGTAAATTTTTTACAATGCTCTAACCACTCTTGACACTGTGTGTCTGCTCAGGGAGCTCTTTGCACGCAACTTTGCATAGACTTGTGATGGGTCTTACAGTGACCGTTTGAATGGATAGACCAGATATTAGTTCGGTTACAGTTAGATATTTTGTTTACCTTTGCTCCCCAAGCCCATCATTTATGCCCCTGCCAAACTGCACAGTTGCTTTCTATAACAGATAGCCGACAAGTGAACTACAACTCCTACAAACCTTTGCTGTGCACAAGACTCTATAACATTCTATCAAACAGTTTCCTGGTTAAGAAAAATTGTGATAGACTGATTTAATAACAGAGGGCTGGAATTAATGGTGTTGTAAACAAAACTCAAAAGCCCTCAAGGAGGAGAATACACCTCCTCCCACCCCCCCCGTGACCCCCTTGGTAAGGAGTCAATTCCCAACCCACTGGACGATCGCTGAGGCACACATAGGCTCAAAGAGCGACAACCCCCATATACATGTATACCTATACACAACAGACACGCGCTGACACACACGGACTTCATAGCACTCACCTGTGGACACGCACATCACTGAGGACAACCATTCGTACACACAATTAACCCCTTCCGGGAACATGTAAGGGGGCACGAACACGCAACCAACCAACCCCAAATAGACAACCCTTGGGTTCTTTACCCCCCCACACCAATACAATCCTAGCACTGGAGGGAAAAAAGACACACTCAAAAATTACTCCAATGTTGCCTCAGTTCGACACCAACTGACCCACAAATTATTTTAAAATGTGCAGAACTAGCTGACACCACAGATTAGAATCGACAGACTGCTATGTATGCCTAAACTAAGTTGTGATGTCATGAACCGTTTTGAAAACCCGGAAGGCTGTTGTGGCCATACGGGTAGTTATGTAACTAACCTTGCACGCAAAAATAAAGAATTGCAAAAAAGCCCTCAAGGACAGAGAAGCATACAATATTTAAAACAAAATTAAATACACATATATATCCATAAAATGTATATAAATGACATAAGGTTTATAAAGGAAACTAAAACAATAGAATAATGCATCAGATGTTTATTTGTATAAAGAACACAAAATAGATGTATTAGCATGTCAAGAGAAGATGCACTTTTAAATCCCCCCCTCCCCATATTTTGCCATCATTGTGACATCACTTGCCCTTCATAAATATTAACCCACGGCAGGCTGTAGATAAATTATATACTTTGAAGGTGACCAGCAAACCATTTGAGCTTCTTAAAGAAATTAGGTACCAGCCCACTCTGCATTGGGTAAGTGCACTTGTAAGGACTGTACACATCCTTGTTATAAAAAGAATGTCTGATATATTGCACAAAGACAAACATGGAACTAAAGATGTTAAGGTATGCAATAAATGGCATTTTTCTCCCTCAAAACATAGCACAGGTTTATAACCTTTTCTTCTGAATAATTTATTAATTCCACAGATCTGTTCTCAGAACATATATATTTTATACTTTTAAAGAAGAAAAAAATCATACATATCTCTCAAATAAAAAATTAAACAAATATAAAGCACATTTTCCTCTATATCTCATGGCAGTTTCTGCAAAATCTGTATTGACCTGTGATAAATTTCATCTAGGTACAAATAGCCTGTAATTTTATTTACTTGTAGTTAAAGACTTAAAAATTTTTTTTTTTCCTTTTTACAAGTAAACACAAGTTTAAACACAAATTGTGTTTTTCTATGCCTTTTTCGTTTGCCACGGTGATAACCTATTTTAGGTACCAGAAGTGACCATATGATTTCCAGGTTCTGTGCCATTGCGGTGTGGTTCATTCCAGCAGCAGAACTTACTTCGATGGTATTGTAAGATTGTATCCTATCATAGCCAGAGCATGGACTGAGAAGGCCCAAGTCAGTGTTTAGATCCGTAACATGTAAAACTACTGCTACCGGGTTTTCTTCCGCTTTGCCGCACTCTGTTTGGCTTGCCTTTTCAATTCTTCCTCCTCTCGTCTTAACTCTTCCAAGTCCTCTTGAATACCCAATCGCAAACTGCAAAAGGCATACATAAAATTAATGTTCAATAAATAATATACAACAATGTTTTTAAGTACAAACCAAACTAAAAAACTCACATAAATACAAGTAAAAAAGCAAAAAACAGACATGCACTCTTCATACCTAGATTTAGCAATTTGTGTCCTATCTGAATAGAGGCAGGCCTCATAGTCTAAACTAGAATCAGTTTTCTTTCCAATTGCAGTAGAACGTAAAGTGACAATTTGCTTTGCTAGTGTGTGTTTTAGGTAGCAGAAACATGGATGACTAGCAGAGCAGATTATACTTAATATTTAATTTTCATGTTGTGCCTCACAAGATTTTTTTGGATGCATGCAGTGTTCAAAGCATATGTGCATTAGGTTCCCCCATCAGTGTGACGTGGCCAGAGGTTGAGATGGAGCCAGTGCTGAGGGACCTTGGCGCTGGAATCAGGCAAGTGTTTAACCATTTATGTGCAGGGTGTGAATGTGGGTGTGTAAAGACTCTAGAGGGAATGTGACACTATAGAGTTAAGAATACAGTTTTGTATTCCTAACGCTACAGTGTCTTTAGATGTGTTACTTGGCCAATATGGTTGTATTAGGCTGTAAATTAGTCTAGAACAATTTGCTAGATATAAAAATTGTTATAATGTTTTTAAAACATGGACTGGGGGGCTCGCAGATTTGACTTGCTCAATATGTGCGTGCACTGAACAGAAAGCCCATATGTGCCTAAATGGGCAACGTAAGCTACTAGAAGAGTAAATGGGTTTTATATAAAGGGGCAGGCGGGTAAACATTAAAAGCTCCTGCTAGGGTAGTAAGATTTGCAGCAGGCATACCTCCTGGCTTCCTCTTTCTGCTGCTCCCGGAAACTGCTTTCCATGTACCTCAGGGCATAATCACTTTCATCTTTATACCTAGAGAGCAGAATACAGAAAAGGTTTAAATTGCAATCCAAAACAGATCACTACATTTACCAGGTTAAGAAATACCATCTTAAGAGGATGCACACTTATCCTTAAAGAAACATTCCAAGCACCATAATCACGGACTCAATAAATTAATCATTTTGGTGCCATGTTACCTTCCAGGGTTAAACAGTTTTGAATGGTTTAACACAGAAGCCCTGTAACCAGGTGTCTGTCATCTGCCTCTCCTCTGTTACTTGGCCAATGTGGAAGCATTACGTGTAAACACACGCACATTTTTTTAAATCTATACTCACAGTGGCCAGCAAGATGCACTTCAGTCTATCACTCCAACCAATTTGCTGCTCAAGCCAACGGTTCTGCATTAGCCAAGCATCAGAACAGAAGCAGCAGTTAAAAAAAAATAATTAATAATAAAAAAAAGTGTTAAACACTGGAAGATCAGGTAATTCACTGAGATGAAGTGGTTATGATCCCCCGAGTCTTCCCTAAAATACATTTTTAAAGAGTAAGTGTGTATTCTGAAATTGTGTATAAAGACAAGTCATGTATAGACTTCTTCAGAAAATTAACAAATTTAAATATACCACTTATTTTCAGAGCATTGCTAGGACACAATATAGCATAAATTTACTAACTTATTTCTGTCGTAGCCAAATATTTCTCGAATGTGCTTTGATATTTCATCTTGGGACTCCCCTCCATCATCAATAAAATCTTCCATCTCTGAATCAAAATCTTCATCATCATCGTCAATTCTTCGTTTGTAAGAAATAGTTATTGGTGGTTTAGGGGGACCTGTTAAGAAAACAAAATCCCCCAAAAAATAAATACACACACACACAAATGGAGAAAAAAACAAAAACCCCCAAAACAATATATCCCTCAAAAAAACATACTAAATGATATCTATGCAATAATATGCTAAAAGAAAGACTCTTCAGATGAAGTACAAACACAAAAATAAATAAAAAGGTATATCCTTCAATCTAACTTATGACAATTTTGGATTAATATTTGGGGGAAATATAACCAGCACATCACCTTAAAAAAGGCAAGATCTTATCAAATACACCAATAAAAGATTTATTGGTGTCCTAAGTGCCCCTTTAAAGATTGCTTATAGAAATGATTGACAGGGAACCAAAACAGAAGCACCCAGTTTGAGAATATAGCTAAATACAACAGTGCTGATTTCTTCAACATGTAAATGTTATTTGTCAGACCTCAAAAACAAAATTTGTTTAATACAAGTAAATTATATTAAAAATCCTGAGATGTGACAGTTGTCAATTAAGAGTACAAACACGAGAAAGGTTGCCTAAGAGGGTGAAAGAGTGAGGGGCGACCTGCCTTTCCTCTAACACTCCCCCTAGGTATACCCACAGTAGTGAAAATAACAGAGTAAAAATTAAAAACTTATGTTTTAAATTCTATTTAAAAAATCTCTTTAAGGACAAAAATTGATGAAATAAGTGAAACACACAGTGCTGGTGAATTTAAAAAGGAAAGGTTTGATGCAGTCTATACAGTCTCTTGTATATGTAACTAACTGTAAGTGGTTACTAATGAATTGATTTATACAAAAAAACAAAACGGTAATCTCTTGTATACAGAAGTGTAACTAAGTTGTTACTAATGAATTGACTTCTACAATAGACACAATAGTCAAGAATATATTTAAGAGATAAAGGTCAAAAGCTAGTAACTGTCAATAAGTTGCACTTAGTTGGATAGTATCTGATAGAAGCTGAAATTGATAAAGCCTCTATATATCCACTAGTAATAGGTAGGACTATGTTTAAATACTCTCTACCTTCCCTGTTAATATGGAACTATATTCAGGTAATCTCTCTCTAACAGTGCTATTATCAATACTAGTATAAATTTAGCTTACATCAAATAAATGCAAAGACGCCTAATAGTGGTAAGAGGCTAAACTTGCTTGTTGCTTATTAATGGCAGAAAGTGCCAGTTAGCAAGCAGGTTTATTAGGGTGACTGTAGCTAACATCCGTGTAGAAATGGAATACAGTTATAAGCAATATAATGCTATGAATATTCGTATGAGTTAATACACACAGTAACCCAACATATAACCTTAAAAGAAAAACCTCAGCATATAACAGACACACCATCAAAGTCTAATCTGTTTGAAATTGCACTTTAAAAATATATAGAGAAAATAAATAAATAGGCAGGCTAAATATATTGCACTGCCTTAAGTAGTGTCAAACCTATGATATTACCAAATATAAGGTCTTAGGGAAGATTAGAAAAAAATATATATTAGAAAATAAACAAAGATCCCCTCCCAAGGTCAAATCCCATTAGAAAAGAGTATTTTGATCCTTGAGTAAAAAACAGGGGGTAATGGAGCAATTAAACCCAATCAGTCTATCCAAATAAACACTGCAAAGGCAGCTGCTAAGCATAGACTGCCTAGATCAGGGGTAGGCAACCTACGGCACTAGTGCCATGCACGGCACTCGAGGTGTCTTTGCACGGCACTCAAGGCTGCTAGAGCCAAACAGGCTCAGGCCTATCAGCAGTCCCAGTAAAATGTTAGATATCTGCTAATACGAAAAGGTGGTGAAGGACAATCCTCAATTTATGCATTGCAGCACGTAGAGGAAGTGATCTCGGATTTGTAGTAGATCAGGCTGCAGCTGCTGTTGCAGCTCCTGTTCTTGACCTGTACCTGGGAAGCCACATACACACTGCTAGATATACACAGAAATGCAGAATAACCCTCTACTCAATACAAATAATCAGCCCACAAACAATCCACACAAACTCAACACCACTAACAATCCACATACATGCACACAACCCCACATGCAGACTCTCACATGCAATACCCCAAACAGCCCCATACACACACACACACACACACACACACTACCAAACACACAATGTGACATATCCATCCACACACAATTCCACAGACAACCCCAATCACAGCCCACATTCATATGTATCATAGACGATACCATAAACTACTCCTGAACATATACAATATAATAGCTCCTATACGCACAAATACAACGATACAAAGCAATTACAGTAAAAATAACAAGCAGAATACGGCAGCACACACACCTCACTTTAAAAAAAAAAGAAAAAAAGAAAAAAAAGGACCGGCACGCTACAGGACACCACAATCCCATATCGGCACAGTGCTGCTAAAAGGTTGCCTACCCCTGGCCTAGATGGATAGTGAAAAGGCCCCTCTGACACATCAAAAAAGCTCCTATAACATACTCAAAAGTGAATCTCAACCCTCCTGTCTAGATAGGTACTAATATAAGTGCCATTGCCCGTAAAGTAACAGCTTATTAATAGAAGCTGTTCAAATAGATGTAGCCAGACCCTGGGGCCAAGTTCAGAGACTGGAGCAAAAGTAACTAGCTGAAAATATCCTCCAAATCTATAAGAGACTAACAGGCTGCATCAAGAACCTAACTAAAAGAGAAAACGTCTAAACTCGACGCGCGTTTCAGCGCGCTCAGGCACCTTTTTCAAGAGTGTTGTCCTTCATGTTGCCCTGCCGGTCCCAGGACATAACTCCCACAATGAACATTTCGGAAAGTTTTCAATAAACAGGACGATACTACAATATATGTGAATACAATGTCAGTGTGACTTGAGAAAACAGTGCTTAGAGATCTATTCACCCCTACTACTGCTAATAAGGTGCAGAATAAAGAAAAAAATGTTTTCCATATAAATACAAATGACAAATTTTGGGGGCAAAGTGATGCAATTACCAAATATAATAGAATGTTCCTACTGACTTCTACACCTTCAGAATGTTAAATAACCCTCAAACAAAGCAACACATTGATATTCATAATAATCAATTCTAAACCCATTTGAAAACATACCTGGTGGGCGAGCCATTGGCTTAGGTGGGCCAGGTTTCATTCCATTGGTTTGTCCATTACTAGATTTAGGAATAAAGTTTTTCGATGAGATGGTTTCCGATATTACAGTACACTTCGGTTTCCCAAGTGCTCCATGCCCTGCAACCAAATTGTTAACAGGCCGACCAGGTCCTGAACCACCAGAGACACGCCCAGCAGCAGGTGCCATGTTGCTGCTCGGCCGTACAGAGGAAGATCCTGGCCGAATAGATGCACTTTTAGGAGTGCTCCCTGGCAGTGAAGAACTACTATGTGGTCGGCTGGATCCAGGTTTAGAACCAGAGCTGGTGTTTGACTGCCCAACACTACCTGGACGAGATGAACCGGGGCCAGAGTTGCCAGAAGGCTTACTGGATCCAGAACTTGTACCCAGGGTTCGACCTGATACCAAATTAGAGCTGCCAGAGGGTCGCACAGATCCAGAGGTCCCAGATGGACGAACAGTTCCAGAACTAGAGCCGCCAGCGTGCTTAACAGATCCCGAGCTAGAGCCGCCAGCGTGCTTAACAGATCCAGAACTAGAGCCGCCAGCGTGCTTAACAGATCCAGAACTAGAACCGCCAGTGTGCTTAACAGATCCAGAACTAGAGCCGCCAGCGTGCTTAACAGATCCAGAACTAGAACCGCCAGCGTGCTTAACAGATCCAGAACTAGAGCCGCCAGCGGGCTTAACAGATCCAGAACTAGAACCGCCAGCGTGCTTAACAGATCCAGAACTAGAGCCGCCAGCGTGCTTAACAGATCCAGAACTAGAGCCACCAGGGTGCTTAACAGATCCAGAACTAGAGCCGCCAGGGTGCTTAACAGATCCAGAACTAGAGCCGCCAGAGTGCTTAACAGATCCAGAACTAGAGCCGCCAGAGTGCTTAACAGATCCAGAACTAGAGCCGCCAGCGTGCTTAACAGATCCAGAACTAGAGCCGCCAGCGTGCTTAACAGATCCAGAACTAGAGCCGCCAGCGTGCTTAACAGATCCAGAACTAGAGCCGCCAGAGTGCTTAACAGATCCAGAACTAGAGCCGCCAGAGTGCTTAACAGATCCAGAAGTAGAGTTACCCGAGGGTTGTACAGATCCAGATTTTCCAGAGGGCCGAACAAATCCAGAACTGCCAGATGGTACAGCAGACCCAGAACTACAGTTGCTAGAATGATGAGTGGAGGAATGGGACCCAGAAGGCCTAGCAGAGCTAGATCCCAAATATGGCAGAGCAGAGCTGGAACCTGAGTTGGAGTTGCCACATTGTCGTGCACTCCCATGACTCTTGCCATTTGAGTTGACCACGCTTTCAGTTCTAGCAATCGATGAGTGTTTAACTGAAGAAGATTTTAGGCTTCCATTTAAAGAAACCTTGTGGACTTTAGAAGTGGGGACAGGCACACTTTGTTCTACTCGACTCCCACTTTCACTGGAGGATTTTTTCATTGTTCCATGGTGTCCACTTTTTACTTTCTCAGTAGGGCTTGATTTTGACAATGAACTGGAATATTTTTCATGAGACTTTGATTTCTTGTCCATGGAATGGCTTCCTTTTGAAGACAAATGCTTGTCACCAGAGCTTTTACTGACTTTCACAACCTGGCCATTTTTTGAGTCTCTGTCCACAGTCTTTATGTCCTTATGCATTTTTCTCTCCAAAAACTCCAATTCTCTGAGCTCTTCGGCTGTCCTTGGCCTATCGTCTGATTTTTTCACAGGTTTCACAATTTCCACTGGCTCAAACTGTTTCTTTTCAGCAAGTCTAAGCAATTCAGTAAAGTTCATTGCCGGAGGAGCAGCTTTTTTCACATTTGATAATTTTGGTATTTTCTTAGGGGGCGGTGCTGGCTCCTCAATCTCTTCCTCTTGCTCAGATTCAGTCTGAGAATACTCATAGAGCTCTTCTTCTGTCATGTACTCCTCATCTGACTTGGCATTCATGCTCTGGTCTTCTTCAGAGTTGGAATGTCTTTTTCTGGGTTTATCCTCCACTGGAACACCATTGTAGCCTCTGAAATTGTCCTTTGTCCTTGAAGCCATTGCCCTGGCCTTCTTGTCATGTTTCAGTTCCTTGCGTTTGGCCAATAAGTCCTCTTTCTTCCTCTTTTCTTCCAATTCTAAAATAAAAATTATAACAATATGTTATATTAATATATAACAAGTTCCAAGTAAAGGTCTTCATAGAGCCCACAATACACATTTTCATCTCTCAGCCGTGAGAAGTTTTCCAGGGATAGCAATCATTACCAATAGAGCTGCAGTTAGCTCAAATTGGGTCAAGACAGCCAGCTATGGTAGGGTAAACCATGAAAGAGGTTTTAGAATATACAGACACATTTAATATGTTTCAAGCCCTAAACAAAGTTCTTCCCCCCCAAACAAGGCTGATATTTGCAAAGATGTAGTAAAGCAGTAACGAGGCGTCCAAGGCAATTAAAGCAATTCACAAAAGAAAGTTTATTACATGTAAAATGTGTACCTTTTTTGCGAATCTCATCATCTTTCTTCTTGAGGAAGGCCTGTACTGCTGCAGAGTGCACTCCTTTAATCTTTGGGTCCTTCTTAGGGGGTCCTACTGCCAGACTGTATCTTTTCTGTAGGGCAAAGAAAAATAAAGATATCCACATGTAAAGATATTAAGAGATACACTGTCTAATGAAAAGTTATTTTTGTGAGTAACATCAAATAACAAGTCTACTCTTGTTTTACAGCAAATCCCTCACAACCAGTTATTGGCAGGGGCCCAAATTTAATTAAATAACAAAATACTTTGAGATACCAAACACTTTCCATCTGATTTCCCCCATTAGGTGCAGTAAAATGCCAAATGACTGTCTTAAAATCCAATAAGATTCAATCAACTGGTACATAAAGTAAAAAATAAAAAGCAGAGCAAAGTAGTAAAAACAGTTAATGCGTTTCGCCAAAAGATTTTTCATTAAAAAAAAAAAACCACTGGAAAAAGCCTTTTACTGGTGGAAGGCGTTAAGTGTTTTTACTACTTTGCTCTGTTTTTTTTTTTTTTGGTACTTTATGTACCAGTTTATTAAACAAAGTACCGGTAGTTAATTTACTAACATCTTTGGACTTCACTCTGATCTCTTGTGGAGCCTGGGATCACAAGATCCTTTGTTAGGGAAAATACCACCGAAGCGCTGTGGATTGAGCAAAACTGTATTTTTGCTCTCTATTTAGTTGTACCTCTCCTAATTTTATTAATCTACAATAACATCAGTGATCACTACATATATTTTGTTTAAGTACCCCCCCATAAACAATCAACCTAACAAGCCTGCAAGATTCTAAGGTGGGGTGGATACCATCCTGAGCCACCATACCTAAATGGAGGTATGGTAGGTCAAAAAACCTATCCCCTACCTACCCCCCTCACCCTAAAAATAGTGAGGGGGAAATAAAATAACTAACCTGTAAAAAAAAAAAAAATTAAACTTACCATTTGACGTCTTCTTTTTTCTAAAATCTTCTTTCTTCAGCCCCCAAAAAGGCCAAATAAAAATCCATTATACCCGTCGCACTTTAAAAAAAAAAAACCGAGTGCAAAAAAAATGTAATCCAAGTTCGCCCTTCGAGGGCACGCCGCAGACTGAGCTCCGCAGGGCGGGTCAAGGCTTATAAAGCCTTGCCCCGCCCTGCAATTAGGCTTAGAACACTCTGATTGGTGGGTTTAAGCCAATCAGAATGCTCCGAGTCATTTTACACAGCGTGGGAAAATTCTAAAGAACTTTCCCACCTGTGTAAAATGACACAGAGCACTCTGATTGGGTGGCTTTCAAGCCACCCAATCAGAGTGTTACGAGTCATTTTACACAGCGTGGGAAAATTCAAAAGAACTTTCCCACGCTGTGTAAAATGACACAGAGCACTCTGATTGGCTTAAACCCACCAATCAGAGTGTTCTAAGCCTAATTGCAGGGCGGGGCAAGGCTTTATAAGCCTTGACCCGCTCTGCGGAGCTCAGTCCGCGGCGTGCCCTCGAAGGGCGAACATTAATTTTTTTTGCGCTCTTTTTTTTTTTTTTTTTTAAAGTGCGACGGGTATAATGGATTTTTATTTGGCCTTTTGGGGGGCTGAAGAAAGAAGATTTTAGAAAAAAGAAGACGTCAAATGGTAAGTTAAATTTTTTTTTTACAGGTTAGTTATTTTATTCCCCCCTCACTATTTTTAGGGTGAGGGGGGTAGGTAGGGGATAGGTTTTTTTGGGTGGGGGGGTGACTAGGGGCTTGGGACCCCTAGTCACCTTGATTGGGTGGGGTGATTCATTTAGGGCCCCCACCCACCGCTCAGGGGTGGGGGTCAGGGGGGGAGGACAGTAGGTTCCCCCCCCCTTATTATTTTATTGGGGCCCCCACCCACCGCTCAGGGGTGGGGGCCTGGGGGGGAGGACAGTAGGTCCCCCCCTTATTGTTTTATTAGGGCCCCCACCCACCACGCAGGGGTGGGGGCCGGGGGGGGGACAGAAGTTCCCCCCCCCATATCTTTATTTAGGGCCCCCACCCACCGCTCAGGGGTGGGGGCCGGGGGG